CCGCGTTACTCACACCAACTCAACCCAAGTTCGGAATTCACCAAGGATAATCACACAGGTAGCGGTCCTTGTAGTGTGGAGACAAAAGTGTTCAGAAAACTGGATTACAGGAACATTTTTAACCAGTTCAAAGATCATCCTAAACTACGCCTCTATAGTCTTGCGTCTCACATCTCAACTGAGTTCAACAAGAATCTAATCTTGGTATTTACAGAGTGTGAAACTAATTCGTAGAAGACGCTTAACGAGGGAATCACTCACTTCACTCTTATTATGATCAGCGACGATGAAAGATGTGAACAGTTTGTATTAAGGAAGATCAACGTGTGGTTCTGGGCGGTGGCTCTTGGGGGGACTAAGATAATAACCTACACCAAAGAAGATCCATCTGGCTGAGTCACTGGTGGCTGTCAGTGAAGTCATCAGGTGCCGAGGAAGGATGACAGACAACATGTGCGACCACGCTAACACCAACCTGTCTCCTCCTGTTAGAGAAGATGTGACCAGATACAAGGAGTCCAAGAACACGGTCGGGGTGAATGACCTGGGCTACATACACACACACACACACACACACACACACACACACACACACACACACACACACCACCGTAGATACTTCACATAATTAGGACGTGTAATGACTGTTAATCGTTTGGTGGATAACTCAATATAATTATTTTACACCCGAATTATTATGATAGTTATCGCTCACAGAGACTCAAGAGGCTTATTAATACTGTCAACATATCCTACCTAAAAAAAAAAAGTATAAATTGTGTAGAAGTGATTTTGTAGAGCAATACGAGTATAGTCATTTCCACACCAGGACAGAGAGGAGTATGGTGCTTTATATAACATAGAGTCGAGCTAATCTGTAAAAATCCTACAGTTTAGAACCCGGGTAGAAGAGAGCTGTATCCAGAGAGACGCCGGGATAACTCAGGATAATCTCAGCTCAGGGATATAAGAAGGCAGGTGGTGAAAATGTAATAACGATATTAATAAAAATAAGAGACAAACGGGCAGGGGGTGAGGGTGGTGATGGAGAGGTAGGGGTGGTGATGGAGGATGGAGGGGTGTGAGTGGTGATGGAGGGAGGTGGTGATGGAGGAGGTGATGGTGATGGAGGAGGGGTGGTGGATGATGGAGGAGGGTGGTGATGGAGGAGGTGGTGATGGAGGAGGGTGGTGATGGAGGGAGGGTGGTGATGGAGGAGGGTGGTGATGGAGGGAGAGGGTGGTGATGGAGGAGGGTGGTGATGGAGGTGGTGATGGAGGGGAGGTGGTGATGGAGGGAGGATGAGGGAGGGGTGGTGATGGAGGGTGGTGATGGAGGGAGGGGTGGTGATGGAGGGAGGTGGTGATGTGATGGAGAGGGTGGTGATGGGGTGGATGATGGAGGGGAGGGTGGTGATGGAGGAGGGGTGGTGATGGAGGGAGGGTGGTGATGGAGGGGGGTGGTGATGGAGGGAGGGGTGGAGGACGGGAAGAGGAGGTGGTTGAGGGGGGAGGAAGGCCAGGATGAACAGCTCAACCTCTCTACGACCTGGCAACTGAGAGGGGGATGTGAGGGAGGTAGGAGAAGTGGAATAAAAGAGCGGGAGGTGAGGGGGGGTAGGGAGAGGGGGAAGAAGGAGGGGGAAGTGAGGGGGGTAGGGAGAGGGGGAAGAAGGAGGGGGAGGGAGGTGGACTGGGAGGCACCTGAGTATGGTGGTGGTGTAGGTTTGTTTATAACTGTCTGAGTTAATGTTACTGGTGATCTCCCCCCCCCCTCTCTCACTCTCTCTCGCTGTCTCTCTTTCTCTATCTTTCTTTCTTTCTCTGGTTTTTATCTCCTTTTCTTCTCATCTATGTTGCTCTCTTTTTTTATCTCTCTGTCTATATTCTCCGCCTCTCTGTCTTCTATCTCTCTCTTTGCCTCTTTCTCTCTATCTCTCTGTCTATATCCCCTCTCTCACTCACTCTCTCTCTTTTCTCTCTCTCTCTCTCTCTCGCTAGCCAACACGGTGGATCCTACAGTATATTGATTTACCTCTCCTAAATTCTTCCTTCTTTCCTTCATTTCTTCCTTCCTCCCTCCCTCCCTACTCTCTCTCTCTCTCTCTCTCTCTCTCTCTCTCTCTCTCTCCTTCGTCCAGTAGACCGAGTTCACCCATCACCCATTTATTTTTCCATTTCTGCGTCAGTTCTTTGAAAGTCGAAATTTTGTAAAAGGAAAAAAATACCCTGTATATTTTTTTCATGTGATTTTTATTTCTTCAAAATTTTTCGGATTTTGAGAGGACCAGAGCCATATTGGAGTGGCTGTTGAGCAAGAGGTGTAGTGCCGTGTGACAGAGGGGCTGGGGGTACGGGGGAAGGTATGACTTTTGTGGAGAGTGTCTGCTGCAACGATGGATTAGGGGAAACGTATTTGTTGGAGGTAATTTTCACGATAAGATTAAGATAATAATAATAATAATAATAATAATAATAATAATATTAATACAAATAATAATAATAATAATAATAATAGTAATAATAATAATAATAACGCTACTACTACTACTATTAATTATTATTATTTTTTTAAAGTAGCCTCCAGCCTCCCCCATTAGCCACACCTTCGCCGCCATCTTATTACCTTAAAATTAACTATCCTAATACATAAGTAGCTACCCTGGCTGACTACTACTACTACTACTACTACTACTACTAAGCTATATTGAGACTACAGACAAGATAAACAGTCCAAACTGACACAAGAATGACATTGTGACTCTACCTTGCCTAGAGACGTTCACTGAGTATCATTTAAAGAGATTATTTAAGTGTAAGCAGGACTCGACTTGAGGTACACAGAGCCCTCCTTCAGGACTCTACGTGAAGTAAACAAACGCCTCCTATAAGACTCTACTTGAAGTAAACAGGACTCTACTTGAGGTAAACAGACCCCTCCTTCAAGACTCTACGTGAAGTAAATAGGACTCTACGTGAAGCAAACAACCCCTTCCTTCGGGACTCTACGTGAAGTAAACAAGACTATTTGAGGCAAACAAACCCTTCCTTCAGGACTCTAAGTGAAGTAAACAAACGCCGCCATCATAGGGTATTCAAGACAACGGCTCCTCATTCAAACTTTATCCAAGAAAGTAGAAAAGTTTCCCCGAAGTCACTGGTGGTGGAGACGCTGCCAGCTGGCCCTCCAGATGGTCCTCAACCACCTGAGTAAATATCCTCGTGAGCCATCTGAGTAAATGTCCTCGTGAGCCACCTCAGTAAATATCCTCGTGAGCCACCTGAGTAAATATCCTCGTGAGCCACCTGAGTAAATATCCTCGTGAGCCACCTCAGTAAATATCCTCGTGAGCCAACTATTATCCATCACTATAATAAACATCATCCATAGACCCTTATCCATTATCCATAACCTATAATTACTCTTCAGTACCTAATATCCATAGGCGATTATCCTCTGTCTATAACACATTGTCTATAATTATTACCTATTATCCATAGTCTATCATCCATTTATCCAATCTGTTATACGTTGTCCATCGTCTAAAATTACTCTCTGTTATTTTCTTATCCATAATGTATCCTCTGTTGTCTACTGTCTTGTCTACTGTTGTCTCTACATGTGTAAAGACTCAATAGAGACTCAGTAGGGAATTAAACAACCTCCAAAGAGACTCCGAGACTTGAGAGGTAATTCACGTGTCAGGGAAAAGCAATTAAGATCAGTAATTAATCTTTCAGGGCATCCGGAGTACTGCTAATTAACTTTTCCAATCAGGTAATGACTTATTTGGGTGCTGGGATCTGGGTAGGGATCTGGTGCTGGGATTTGATTAGGGATCTGATGCTGGGATTTGATTAGGGATCTGGTGCTGGGATTTGATTAGGGATCTGGTGCTGGGATCTGGGTAGGGATCTGGTGCTGGGATTTGATTAGGGATCTGGTGCTGGGACTTGAGAGTGGGACCTGATGCTAGGACTTGAGAGTGGGACCTGGTGCTGGGACTTGAGAGTGGGACCCTGGTGCTGGGACTTGAGTGGGACGTGTTTGGGATTATTCGGTCACTGAGATTCGAGTTTCTTTTGGACTTGGTAACGTTGGTGCGGGTGACAAATACTGTAGCAAATTTATCACCTGTCCAGAGCGAGGAAAACAAATTATCGAGGGGTGAAAAAAAATAGTATAAATGATGGTGCTATTGAGACTCTGAATAAATATATTGAAATATTTATTGATATCATGAAGTTTTAGTGTGAATAAATAATGAAGTTGTTATTTATTTTGGTTTGGTTTGAATAATAAAAGATAAAGATGATGAACTTAGATTAAATGCCTTAAAGACGTAGGTAATGTTTATTCTAAAATTATAACATGGTGGTCAGAACTTAGAGCGTCACCAGGTGGAGAATATGACGTAGGTGGGAAATAACGTAACTTGTGATGATAGATAAAAATGAATTAACAGTTAATACAAGAATAGGCCAAATTAAAAATACTATTCAATAACCTTTGGAAATTTGGTGAAAGGGGGCTACTAAAATACTTTCTACGCCAGTTATCAGAACCGTTGGGGCATTTAGCTGAGACAAAGAAGTTGAGGATTTTGAAATATGGTGCAACAGGAGAATGTTAACTTAAAGATTAGGAATAATGATGGAAAACAAGCAAAGAATTACTAAGGTTTGGTTTGGTTAAGTTAGGTAGGGGGTCAAGGAGGACAGAGACGATGGAATAGATGGATACAATAAAAAACTTTGGACCCCTAGAGAGGACTGGTAATGACATCCTGGAAAAAAAACAGTAATAATCTGGAGAGGAGGGCCGTGGTCGCCAACCCTCAGGCCAGAGTAATCGAGCACATTACGGTCATGTGGCTGTAATCTTGGAGTTATAAAATTATCGATGACACGCGATTATACCAAACTGTTTAAAATAATTATAGATGATTATACATATTGACTCAATTTTACAGAGAGTTAATCATCATTGTTCTGTACTCCTCCTATGGCCAGTGTCAGACATGTCCCTCTGTATCTTAACACGTCTTCTTCCCTTGTCTCCCACACTCGCTGTAAACAACAAACAACAACAATAATAATCAATGGAAATATCACCCACACACACACACACACACACACACACACACACACACACACACACACACACACACGAAAGAAGAAAAAACAAGATATAAAGAAATTTAATTTTTCTCTCACTCAGCAAGTCAGTCAGTCAACCAAGACGGTATTAACACACATACAGCTGACTGATGCATATAGAAATTAACATCTAAGGTTAAAGTATTTGGGGTTAAATTAGAGGTTAGGTTAGGTAGGTTAGGTTAGTGGGGGTAGGTTAATTAAGGTGGTGAGGGAGGTGAGGTGGTGGGGGAGGTGGGTGGTGAGGGAGGTGAGTGGTGGGGGAGGTGAGTGGTGAGGTGAGGTGGGGAGGTGGTGACAGGGAGGTGGGTGGTGAGGGAGGTGGGTGGTGGGGAGGTGGGTGGTGAGGGAGGTGGGTGGTGAGGCAGGTGAGTGGTGAGGCAGGTGAGTGTTAACACCTCCCCAGCAGGAGTTAGTGGACTGAGTATGTTGACGACCCGCGGTTGTCTGTTGCTGCGAGACACTTATTGGCGCGGGTACTGCTTCACTATCTGGCTACAGTCGTGTGTGTGTGTGGGCGTGTGTGTGGGCGTGTGTGTGTGTGTGTGTGTGTGTGTGTGTGTGTGTGTGTGTGTGGCGTGTGTGTGGGGGGGGCGTGTGTAGTGTGTGTGTGTGTGTGTGTGTGTGTGTGTGTGTGTGTGTGTGTCTGTGTGTGTATGGCGTGTGTGTATGTGTAGGATGTGAGTGTGTGAACGTGTGGGTGAGTGTGTGTCTTCATTGACGTCACTCATTACTGACGTCACGATGTTCAGTGTTTACCTGGGGTGTTGACAACCTGCCCCCGACACATCTACCTACTCCGGGCGCTGCCTCCTCAACTGGTGTCGTTGGTGGCATTATTTTTCTTTTCGTGTCGGTAATTCAGAAAAGGTTTTTAATTAAAGTTGGAGAGAGAGAGAGAGAGAGAGAGAGAGAGAGAGTTATGTGTGTGTGTGTGTGTGTGTGTGTGTGTGTGTGTGTGAGCTTGGGTGCCGACACTGAACACTCACTATCTATCTCCACACACACACACACACACACACACACACACACACACACACACACACACATTATTATCAACTACATAGACATTAACAATGACACAGACAGACAGACAGACAGACAGACAACGTACCCTTGCGGTGGTCAATATCAACATCATGGATCACTATACGGATGGTCTCGCCCTCCGTCACCGAACTCTGTCTCTTGAGTCCGTCCTCCATCCCCAGGTCACGAGACGTGTTCACTTCCAGGGACTGAGTGATACGTGTCACCGGGCCCACCACGCCCCCGGGAGCTGTGGGCGTGGTGGCTGGGTACACTGACGCCCCACGTGGGGAGGCTGGCGGTGTGGGCAACATCCTACTTCCTTCAGATCTGGTGAAAGATAAATAATACGATGATAGGAATATAATAGTAATTTAATTCCCTATTATTTTAGGACCATTTAAAGAGAAGACTCAGATTTTAAATGATTTTATATTCAAATCTGTGTTAACTGTACACCTCTGTTGTAGTGGGAAGATGTGTGTGTGTGTGTGTGTGTGTGTGTGTGTGTGTGTGTGTGTGTGTGTGTGTGCTATGTTTGTACGTGTATGTGTTGTGTGTATGTATGTCTTGTGTGCGTCAATATACATATACACCCATTATTTCAACATCACAAATGATAACTGATCTAACTACCTGTCAATTTACGTATGAGAAGCGTTAGTCTTTCAACCAATAAGTTAACGGGAGTTGTTAACATGCAGCCAATAGAGAGAGCGAGGCAACGCAATACACACCCTCAAAACTTAGACTATTACGCCATCTGTTGGTAAATGATTGAACAATCTGGTTATTCTGGCCAATGGGAGCACAGGCCGGAAAAATCCAGCCAATTAAAGCGAAATTGGTGCGCCATTCCTAGAAATTGACGTCACAACCACTGTGTTGACAACAAACTCGAGGAACTGGCTTGTTGTGACATTACAGAGGTCCGCCCACACTCTTGATGTAATCTCCGAATACTAACACAACAACACAGTCTTAAAACTTAATATTTGTTTTTTGTTAAATGAATGTACACACACTGTTTTCCTATTGGCTGAGAGTGACTGAAATGTCAAGTGTGGAAAATGAGATGTTAATACGTATTTTTGTATTTCAAGTGATTGAGTAGTTATCGCGGTTGATATTACTGTAGTAGACGGTGTTGGCCTACTCTCTCTCTCTCTCTCTCTCTCCAGTCTTAATACTTCTCCATGCCATAATACTCCCCATCATTTAATTAGAGAAATCTTCACGTTCTCATCAGAGTTGCTCAATAGTGTCACGAACTGGATGGAATAGCTGAGACTTTTGAGGGAACGTCCTGGGTGTTGCGGTCATCCGTCTCCCACAAAACTTTCCCTAATGTAACTTTCTCAATCATTAATTCATTAGTAGAGCGAATAAAAATCCTTGTCAGTTTTCGTGTTGGAGTGACGTTAGCGTGCTTCGTTTGGTGTGTGTGTGTGTGTGTGTGTGTGTGTGTGTGTGTGTGTGTGTGTGTGTGTGTGTGTGTGTGTGTGTGTGTGTGTGTGTGTGTGTGTGTGTGTGTGTGTGTGTGTGTGTGTGTGTGTGTGTGTGTGTGTGTGTGTGTGTGTGTGTGTGTGTGTGTGTGTGTGTGTGTGTGTGTGTGTGTGTGTGTATGTGTGTGTGTGTGTGTGTGTGTGTGTGTGTGTGTGTGTATGTGTGTGTGTGTGTGTGTGTGTGTGTGTGTGTGTGTGTGTGTGTGTGTGTGTGTGTGTGTGTGTGTGTGTGTGTGTGTGTGTGTGTGTGTCCTCTGTCTGTGATTCAATTTTGATAAAACCAGAGACTGTGCAGATTATGTTGAACATTTACTGTTGAAATTTACTTGCCAGGATAACTATATATATATATATATATATATATATATATATATATATATATATATATATATATATATATATATATATATATATATATATATAATATTTTTTGGGGGGGGATTTGTTTACTAGGATTTCGTTTATGGGGAAAAATAAGCCTAAAACAACATTTAAATGTATTTAGAACATAAGAAAATAAGGAGTCTGCAATAGGCCGGTTGGCCTCTGCATGGCAGCTCCTGTCGAGCGTTACAACCACTCTCTATCATCCATGAATCTATCTAGCCTCGTTTTATAACTTTCCAGCGTTCCAGCACTTACCACAAAGTTGCTAAGCTTGTTCCACTCGTCCACCACCTTATTTGTGAACCAGTTTCTTCCTATCTCCCTCTTAAACCTAAACTTATCCAACTTGAATCCGTTGCTCCGAGTCCTATCCTGCTCGGATATTTTAAGAACTTTATCTATATCCCTTTATTGATTCCTTTCACCCACTTAAATACTTCTATCATATCTCCCCGCCCTCTTCGTCTTTCTAGGGAATGCAAGTTAAGTTTCTTTAACCTATCTTGATATGGAAGGTTTCTAAGTCCCGGAATTATTTTCGTCATTCTTCGCTGCACCGACTCCAGTGAATTGATATCCATTCTATAATAAGGTCACCAGAACTGAATAGCATAATCGAGGTGCGGCTTGACTAACGCAAGATATAGTTGCAATATGACCTAGATATAAAACCTAATACTCTGTTCGCCTTATTTCGAACATATCAGTTATGTCGGTCTTACTAAATGGCGTCAGTGGCGGGAACCCTTGTCACGTGATGTCCTAACTGCTGTCACTTCACCACCTCACAGCTGTAAGGTGATCACCTACCCTACCTGTCTTCCTCCCTCCCCCAATCAGGTGTTAAGAGACAGTAACCTTTGTCATGATGTCCCTAACTGCTGTCACCTCACGTCAATGGCCTCTCAGTTTGGTGGTTCCTTTGAAATGTTGGCAGTTGACTAGAGAAGAGTTGGCTGTCTTATGAAGAGATAAATTACCTGCACCTGACATGGTCACTAATCCTGGCACACTGATTACAAGTGGCCAGTTGCCGGACCTCTCTGGTTAACTTGTACGGTGAGGTGGAGTCACGCAACTCACAACACCTGACAATTTTCCTCTCAAAATATTAGCTTGTCCGCCGGGCAAACACCGGCCCCTAGTCCGAGCATGGCTCATCTACACAGCCTGATTTAGTATGTTCTTCCCTCCTTTTCCCTTTCTTCCTCCTTCTTCCCTTTCTCCCCTCCTCCTTTTCTTCTTCTCTCCCTCTTACCCTCCTCCAAGGCAGGTACTCACACAGCTGATGATCGTCTCCTGGTAGAGCGGTACTCCTCGTCAGCCGGGTATAACCACTGGTCCTCCTCGAGGCTGGATGAGCCCGTCCTCCGGGGTGACCCTTGGGCCGAGGACACCCCGGTAACCCCTCCGCCCCTGGTGGAGGAACCTCAGGGGACATTGGCGACGGCGACGAGTCCAGAGGTACTGAAGGAGAAATAAAGGTTAACTGATTACTGCCTGTAGGAGGAGAGACAAGTCTTGGTGTTCAGTCTAAGGATACAAACTGTGTGTTAAGTTCACACCTGTTGAACCAGAGATAATATTATTTTTTTACCTGTGTGGGGGCGTATTAGAGAGAATTTTGTTGTCTTCGAGGGAAAGAAAAGAGAATATGTAATGTCCCGTTGAAGTAATGTTGTACAAGACGTCCAGAGTTACTGAAGTATAAGATATTATTGAATAACTTAGATGTAGAGAAAAATAATGACCACCTTTTATAACATCGAAGTTTTAAAAGGAGAATTAGAGAAGTGAAAACTACTGAAGAATATAGAATTACTCATTAGTTTTACCTGTCAGGTGTATTGATAATCGTTAATGTTCAGTTAAAAAAGAAAATTTATCACATGAAGAGTAGGCACCCCAACTAATTTTACCTGATGATTAAAAACCGTAATGTTACCTGGGTGGGGGTTAGGTTAGGTTAGATTACGTCAGGTTAGGTTAGGTTAGGTTAGGTTAGGGTTCTCAGTCATCAGGTGAAATAAATCCGAGTGTCTAATTTTCATGTGATAAAAATCAGAAGAGTCAATTTGAGTTCTTATAAGTACCTAAGTTAGATATTCCTCGTAAATGAAGTATTAATAACCCACCTTACTGGAATACTTACGTTAATACAGCAAACTAATATCGCTAAGATGACAAGAGAATCACACTGAGACTCCAACTTAAGTCAAAGATAAGTTCACTGTAGTATAAGAGGATGAATATCAACGTACCGAATCTTTGTGACTCCTGGCTCTGACCTACTGAAGGAGAGAATCTTTGATTAGTTTACCTGTGAGGGCGTAAGGGATGGGGGGAGAGTAAAATCACCACTTTACATGCCGGTTAGGGGAGCCTGGGAAGGGGGTGGGGGTGGAGTAGAACCTTGGTAAGTTCTTGTTCTTAGAAGGGACAGGACTTTGGGGGAGGGTTCTTATGCGTTTATATAACAGTACAGTATAATGTTTTGATGTCAATATGTACAGTAGCCCACACTTACACCTGGTACAGTGGCTGGCAGGTTTGGTGAGGTGTGGCAACTGTGTTTGTTTACATCTTATTCAAATTCCCAGAATGGTCCTAAGGAACTTTACAAGGTAGCCAGACTAAGGCTCACATAAATATTTCACAGAGTTGCCACATACCACAAAAACTCCGTTCACTGTACCAGGTATAAGTGCAGGCGACTGTACTTTAATAGCAGTATGTTAATGTTTTCAAAGCATTATAATATTTTGAATAGACAAGACCAGATACCTATATATGTGTGTTCAAGTATATTTCTAATGAATCAAGTTATGATATTTCTCTTATATATTAACATTGACGAGTAAATCATGAGACCCCACAGCCCACATGTATCAGTATCTGTTTAATTCTCAATAATTTCACCGTAATATAAGGATTTTAATAGACAATTTTGTTTAATAATTTTTTGGGGGCACAAATTATCCAGAGTTTGTTGAGTCTTTCGTCCTAAGGTTCATGGAGGATTGAGATTATGGTTCTATCTCAGTGGCATGAATGTGTGGTGAGTCCAGAGATAGTGAATGAGCCGCAATTATTACCTGGTTATAGGTGAGGGACAGGTGGACACTGAAGCTCAATAATTAATCACGGGTAATTTGGAGATACCAATGAGATCTTCAATTATTATTATTATTATTATTATTATTATTATTATTATTATTATTATTATTATTATTATTATTATTATTATTATTATTATTATTATTATTATTATTATTATTATTATTATTATTATTATTATTATTATTATTATTATTATCATTATTATTCCTGTTCTCGCTATCCTCATCATCAATCACCATCACCACCTCCACCAGCACCACCGCCATCATCAATCACCCCTGCCTACCTGTCATGACACTGTATGACACTCACTGACACAATAGTTCAATAACACATATATCATCATCGACAGCTCTTGGTCCTCTTCCCCACTAAGACAGCTATCAGATCCAACTTGGTGTGTATGAGGACTGACAGCTTCAAAACACACTCCTTAAATGTTTACACCCGCCATAATCACCGTCAGTCTGAATTGTTGTGGGATGATGGATGTTCCTCGCACTATACTGTCACTATAATTATTGACGGTGCTTAAATACAGACATCACATCCATGACCATCACCATACCTTATGCAGTTATTTCTCTTCACACCATATTATTGTATTGTGTATTGGAAATGATTATACTCATCGTCACATCACTATACCACTGCCTTCATGCTATCACAGTCACTATCACCTCGCTATCACCACCATCATTACCAGCACGTTGTCACCATACTACCATCACATCACCATGACACTACCACCACCACCACCACAATTACATAACCACCCCACCACTACCATCTCCACATCTTACAAGGTATAATGAGGCAACTCCCGTAAGTTTGTTGATAAAGTTGACCAAACTGTGACACGTTAGGTCGAGTTAGAACAAGTTGGGTCCCCCAGGTGAACACGTCACACCTGTCCTCACTTCTAATTTGTCCTAACCGGCGTAAGTTTGTTCCATAAGCTGAGGAAAATGTAATAAGCTTAAAAGGGAGTTTATGCCAGCTGTAAGGTCAAAGTTCATGTTGATCACCTGAGATGACGTCACTTGTGAGGTGGAAGGTCATTTTTTTATCCAGGTTAATGGTACGTTTAGTGAGGGTAGTTGTCATGTAATGTGGTACCTGAGCGACTAAAGAATTATATTGTTTCAATTGATGTACGTAATGTTGTGTAGACACGGAACCTTAAATGATAATGATGGTGTCACCTTCATAGGTAATTACTACAACGTTATAGGTCAATATTTGGTTATGTTTTGATAATAACGACAATAGTATGATCACAGTAATAATAATAATAATAATAATAATAATAATAATAATAATAATAATAATAATAATAATAATAATAATAATAATAATAATAATAATAATAATAATAATAATAATAATAATAATAATAATAATAATAATAATAATAATAATAGGTGTCATAGTAAGAATATGAAGTTTCTAGTGCTATACCTAGTGTCACCTCCTACACCACACCAAGTGTTACAACAGGTGTCACCTCCTACACCACACCAAGTGTTACAACAGGTGTCACCTCCTACACCACACCAAGTGTTACAACAGGTGTCACCTCCTACACCACACCAAGTGTTACAACAGGTGTCACCTCCTACACCACACCAAGTGTTACAACAGGTGTCACCTCCTACACCACACCAAGTGTTACAACAGGTGTCACCTCCTACACCACACCAAGTGTTACAACAGGTGTCACCTCTACACACACCAAGTGTTACATCAGGTGTCACCTCCTACACCACACCAAGTGTTGCAACAGGTGTCACCTCCTACACCACACCAAGTGTTACAACAGGTGTCACCTCCTACACCACACCAGAGTGTTACAACAGGTGTCACCTCCTACACACCACACCAAGTGTTACAACAGGTGTCACCTCCTACACCACCAAGTGTTACAACAGGTGTCACCTCCTACACCACACCAAGTGTTACAACAGGTGTCACCTCCTACACCACACCAAGTGTTACAACAGGTGTCACCTCCACCACACCAAGTGTTACAACAGGTGTCACCTTCTACACCACACCAGTGTTACAACAGGTGTCACCTCCTACACCACCAAAGTGTTACATCAGGTGTCACCTCCTACACACCACACCAGTGTTACAGCAGGTGTCACCTCCTACACCACACCAAGTGTTACAACAGGTGTCACCTCCTACACCACCAAAGTGTTACAACAGGTGTCACCTCCTACACCACACCAAGTGTTACAACAGGTGTCACCTCCCACACCACACCAAGTGTTACAACAGGTGTCTCCTACACCACACCAAGTGTTACAACAGGTGTCACCTCTACACCAGTGTTACATCAGGTGTCACCTCCTACACCACACCAAGTGTTACAACAGGTGTCACCTCCTACACCACACCATGTGTCATCAGGTGTCACCTCCTACACCACACCAAGTGTTACAACAGGTGTCACCTCCTACACCACACCATGTGTCACATCAGGTGTCACCTCCTACACCACACCATGTGTCACATCAGGTGTCAGGTGGGAAAGCGTGGGCAGATTGTCAATTAATGAGGCAGACTGTCGTATGTTGATGTATTAATTAGTGGCAGCCAAGTTGGTAGTCAGTGTGTGTGTGTGTGTGTGTGTGTGTGTGTGTGTGTGTGTGTGTGTGTGTGTGTGTGTGTGTGTGTGTGTGTGTGTGTGTGTGTGGTGTGTGTGTGTGTGTGTGTGTGTGTGTGTGTGTGTGTGTGTGTGTGTGTGTGTGTGTGTGTGTGTGTGTGTGTGTGTGTGTGTGTGTGTGTGTGTGTGGTGTGTGTATCGTGGATGAAAGTGGGGAGGAGTAGGTAACGGGACGAGAGAATAGAAGTACTGTGAGGTGGTGAGTTTAAGGGGGTGGGAAGAGGGGTTAGATCAGCGAGTTACGGGATATCACCAAATGATAGATAGATAGATAGATAGATGAATAGATAGATAGATAGATAGACAAGGGGAGAGGTTGTGAGGGGAGAGGGATGATAATGAATGAAGGGAGAGAGAATAAGAGATAAGATGATAAAACATTACATAGATAAAGAGAGGTCTAAAGATATTGATTTTTGGTGTATATTTTCCGTCACACACACACAGAGGGACAGTTCGTGTGGCGTCAATAGCTCCTCTCTCTAAACTGGATAATTAGTCACCAATAATAGCCGGAATCCGCTTGACTGACTGGCTGACTCACGACACAACATCTCCAGCGACCACAAGTTGTAAAGGCAGAGAAGGAGGTGGGCGTGAGGTGGGGTTGGTACGACCTCTCAAGTCATCCTCCTGTTCAGCGATCGAGTCTTAAGGAGCAGTTCAGGTCCACCCCACCACCTTCTCTCCAGCTAATTTATGGGCACTAGCTAAGTCTCTCTCTCTCTCTCTCTCTCTCTCTCTCTCTCTCTCTCTCTCTCTCTCTCTTATATTGATGTACACACATACATCATCATCATCATCATCATCATCATCATCATCACTCATCATCACCATCATCATACATCATCATCATCATCATCATCATCATCATCATCATCACATCATCATCATCATCATCATCATCATCATCATCATCATCACCATCATCATCACCACCATCATCATCATCATCATCATCATCATCATCATCATCATCATCATCATCATCATCATCATCATCACCATCATCATCACCACCATCATCACCACCATCACCACCACCATCATCACCATCACGGAATAATTCACCTCACCAGGTTTTTTCTTTACACCACCCTTGGCAGCAGGAGCCTGACGGACACCCTCACCTTCGTCTTCACCCTCTTCAGTAGTGTAAAAGAACCGCCTGACGTCTCCTCAAATTACCAGTCTTTCATCTCACGACTTTCCTTTGATTGAGAATTTTTTATTAATATTTTTTTTTGTTTACTTTCTTTAAACGTACCGTCGCTCCCCCCCCACACCACCACCACCACCACCACCATCACCACCATCACCATCACCATCACTACCATCACCATCACCGCCACCACCACCACCACCACCATCTTTCGTTTTATGATATGGGTAAAATTATTTTCCTGAGAACAATGTTTGAGTGTTTGTTGTGTGGTGTGTGGTGTGTGGTGTGGTGTGGTAGACTTCTTGTTCTTCTTCACGTATGGTGTGAGTGTGGTAGTGGTGGTAGTGGGTGTCTTCAGGTGAATAGACCAACACCCACGGTACGTCGTCACACACACACACACACACACACACGACCTACCCCCACACACACACCATCACTACCACACACACACACATACCTACCCTCCACACACACACACACACATACCCACCACCTACCCCTCCACACACACACCATCACTTTACCACACACACACATACCACCACCTACCCCCTCCACACACACACACACACACACACACACACACACACACTCAAACCCTCAACATACACACACAAAGGCACATATCATTCCCAATCGTGATGTTATTTAGATAAACACTGTCTTGTTTAAATTGACACGCTCAGAGATACCCAGGTGACACCGCCAAGAAACTGACAGGTGAAGCTTGAGACAAAGGTGAAGTGTTAGGTTACCATCGCTAAGGTGACGTCGTGTGCACAGGTAATGTTCCGCCGAGGAGTCTTGCCATTTAATAAAAACATAACTTTTTATTCAGGTATTGTAAAAGGTCTAGTTCTGTGTTCAGGTATTGTAAAAGGTCTAGTTCTGTGTTCAGGTATTGTAAAAGGTCTAGTTCTGTGTTCAGGTATTGTAAAAGGTCTAGTTCTGTGTTCAGGTATTGTAAAAGGTCTAGTTCTGTGTTCAGGTATTGTAAAAGGTCTAGTTCTGTGTTCAGGTATTGTAAAAGGTCTAGTTCTGTGTTCAGGTATTGTAAAAGGTCTAGTTCTGTGTTCAGGTATTGTAAAAGGTCTAGTTCTGTGTTCAGGTATTGTAAAAGGTCTAGTTCTGTGTTCAGGTATTGTAAAAGGTCTAGTTCTGTTTCCCTATTACAATCCTGATTTAATAAACACTTTAATATAACTTTATTTACAGTATACAGACAAACATACAGAATATCGAAAGCATTATTCCCACACCCCGGCTCATGTGGGCGTGGAATAAACAACTGTCTTCAAGTAATTACCTTTCTTCATGTTCACCTGTTTAAGATTTTACACACACACACACACACCACACACACACACACCCACCCACCCACACACACACACACACACACCCCACACACACACACACACACACACACACACCCACACACACACACACACCCACACACACCCACACACACACACACACACACACACACACACACAATATGATGGCCAGGCAGGTAAACACGTCATGTAATAATAAGATATTAATAACGCCGGTAATCCTGACTATACCTATAAGACGATACTCCACACCCACACGGCTGTATTATTAGATGGCGTTCTCAGTACGGAAGAGTGACGACATTTTAACGGGGAAATATCCTTGGCGTTGGTCTCTCTTACGTTAATTTAAGAGACAATAGGAGAGGCAAGGTGTGTTTAGCTTGGCTCAGGTTATACTCTCCCTGATGACTCAAGTACTCCGAGGAATAAAAATATTAAAGGTGACAGACAGAGGGGGTGGGGGGTGGGGGGTGAGGTGAGGTGGTGAGGTGGTGAGGTGAGGTGGGGTGAGGGTGAGGTGAGGTTCTTGTATTCTTTGTTGAATAAGTTTATCGTTGGTCATTGTTTATTTACCTGTGTTATTGTGTTGTGTACCTGTTGAGCCGAGGTGATGATCTTTTGTTACAACTTTATCGTCTATCTATCTATCTATCTATCTATCTATCTAGGTTGATAGATAGATAGATAGAATTGGTAAAGTAGATTTTGATTAATTTAAGTTTGTTTATGTTAAGTTAATTTAGGTTATAGTAGGATAGATTAATTTAGGTTTGTTTTGATTAGGTTAATTCAGGTGAGGTGAGGTTAGGTTACTATACATGAGGCTCCACTAAGACTGTGTCCCAGGTGACCCACATCATCAAACCCTTCCCACCTCTATTGCCAATCTGTCCTGTCATGATTGGTTGTCAGCGTCCACCTTCCTGCACCACAAGCGTCCACCTTCCTCCATCACAAGCGCCGTTAAATTAAGGTGCCTCTTCTAACGGACCCTCGATATAACGGACTCTCATCTCTATATAGTTCGTTAGACGGAGGTTTCGCATTTAACGGACCCTCGATATAATGGACAAAAGTTTTATGGTGATCTGTTGTTTATGTTACAAAGATTTTCTATTAAACCAGAGCTACTGTGGCGTAACGTAACGTAACCTTCAACGTGTGTAAATTTAATTCTAATCTAACCTAACATAACCTTACCAAGCGTACCCTTAACCTAACCTAACGTAACCTAACCTAGACAAACTTAATTCTAATCTAATCTAATTTAACCTAAACTAGCCTAACCTAACTCAACCTAATCAAACTTACCCATAACCTAACCTAACCTCAGCAATTATACCTATCCGAATTATCAAGTAGTAGTATCAGAGCTTTAGGTCCTTGTTGTGTTTCAGGTCCGTGTTGTGTTTCAGGTCCTTGTTGTGTTTCAGGTCCGTGTTGTGTTTCAGGTCCGTGTTGTGTTTCAGGTCCGTGTTGTGTTTCAGGTCGTATTGTTTCGTCCGTTTTGTGTTTCACTTGTTGTGTTTGGTCCTTGTTGTGTTTCAGGTCCGTGTTGTGTTTCAGGTCCGTGTTGTGTTTCAGGTCCGTGTTGTGTTTCAGGTCCGTGTTGTGTTTCAGGTCCGTGTTGTGTTTCAGGTCCGTGTTGTGTTTCAGGTCCTTGTTGTGTTTCAGGTCCGTGTTGTGTTTCAGGTCCGTGTTGTGTTTCAGGTCCGTGTTGTGTTTCAGGTCCGGGATTCTTGGGAGAGGTAGAGAGAGTCCTTGGTGGGGTTTTCCTCGCGGTTCACAGGGAGATAATTGGCGCAGATTGATATTGGATGCCTTCCTTCCCTTCATTTAATTGACGAATTTGATCCCTACCCGTCTGACTGTGTGTGTGTGTGTGTGTGTGTGTGTGTGTGTGCTATCATAATCTCAACCTGCTAGATAATATTACGTTGTATTTTTCATTACAAATCTCATTAAAAGGCAGCAAATATTAGACGATTCATGTCCGCTTTTGGCCTGTGTACGATCATCCAGCTATGAGACAATGGTATGAGTTATGAAGGGTGTCATCTTCGTTGGTGAGCCTTGAGGTGACTAAAGAGGCTGATACGGGACCGGCAGGGTCGTTCACAGAAGTTGCACATGTGGAGGGCTATATCTTGTGCGAGAGGGGCGGCGGCAGCGTCTGTGTAACGCTGGCGCTTGTCTACCTCGGTTTGCAGTCGAGCTAATTCGAAAGTATTGACACCTCGTGAGGTGCTCCTCCAAGCGTTACGGTGTGGAGTGATCGTCTCCCAGGTGAGGGGGTCGATTTGGCTCTTTTTCAGGTTTGTCTTAAGACTATCCTTATACCTTTTCAGTTGCCTGCCAGCATTACGTTTACTATTCGTTAGGTGACTGTAAAGTAGCTAATTTGGCAGTCTACTGTCGTCCATGTGTGTGTAACATGGCCATTACAATGTAGTTGTTCATGGATAATGTTAGCCTCGATGCTCCTACAGTTGGTGTCAACGAGAATACTGGCATTTGTTCTCTTGTCTTCCCAGCGAACACGGAGGATGGAACGTAGACTACGTTGGTGAAAGTTTTCAAGTGCCTTGAGGTGCCTCCTGTATGTGACCCATGTCTCGCTGCCATATAGCAGGGTGGGGAGGACCACTGCTCGATATACGTGCAACTTTGTAGATAATCTCAGCTCCCAACAGCTTCATCACCACGTCATTAAACACACACCTGTACAAGTCAATTACATTATCACCTCATTACACAAATACGTATATGACTCAATAACAACAGCTGTACCACATTTACTACGTTACAAGAATCTCGTTACAGTACAATGAGGTTACAAACACCCGTCACAGTACAGAAAGACAGACAGGGATATTTAGACAGTGATGATTGTGGGACAGTAATTTACCCCTCCATTCACATAGATAACTTTGGGTACAGTGCATTCACATAGTAAGCCTTGGTACAGTCACATAGTAAGCCTTGGTACAGTCACATAGTCAGCTTTGGTACAGTCACATAGTAAGCCTTGGTACAGTCACATAGTCAGCCTTGGTACAGTCCCATAGTAAGCCTTGGTACAGTCACATAGTCAGCCTTGGTACAGTCACATAGTAAGCCTTGGTACAGTCACATAGTCAGCCTTGGTACAGTCACATAGTAAGCCTTGGTATAGTCACATAGTAAACCTTGGTACAGTTACCTAGTAAGCTTTAGTACAGTTACACACCTGGACATTGGTACACTCACTTAGGTAAAGGATGGTAATGAACTCACACATATAGGTAAGTACAGTCCTCGAGGTAGCACAGTTAGGAGCCAAACAAAGCCCCGGGCCGTGTGAGTACCCGGACCAAGATTCGAACTCGGAACTAGGCACCGGACCCGAATCTCTATACTGAAGGTGTTGGTTTTGTTTGGATTAAAGGGAAGGGAGGGGAAGGGGTGAGGTTAGAGGGAGGGGAGAAGGAATGAGGACAGGGTATAAGGGAGAGGAGTGATGCTAGTGGAAGGAGAGGGGGAGGGATGAGGTTAAAGGAAGTAGATGGGGTGATGCTCGAAGGGGAGGAAAGATCAAGGGAAACAGTTGGGTTTTGAGGAAGATCGTTCTGGTAGACTCACCTGATACGTCGGCCATGTCAAGGAACACTCGGGTGAAGGTGGAGCGTTAAAACTCACCTTATTGGCCTGGAACTTTCAGGTAAAGGGAGAGTGTTGGAACTCACCTGATTGGCCCGGAACATTCAGGTGAAAGGAAGGCGTTGAAACTTACCTGATTGGTCGTTAACATCAAGAAACACTCAAGTCAAGGGAAGGCGTTGAAACTTACCTGATTGGTCGTCGGCGTCGTAAGGGTCGTTCATGTCGTTGTTCTTGGCCCTGGAGGCGCGGTAGGAGGAGCGCCGCTTGATGGAGGAGCGAGAGTACCTCCTGGACTCCTCCCCCAAGGTTGTGGTCGACCCTCGCTCGCTGGCCGCTTCGCTGCTCACGTCGCTCTCACTGCTGTGTCGCGAACCACAAGCTGCTGAGGCCACGATCCCGGTGCTGTGGTCAGGAGGTCAATGTGTCCAGTTAAAAAAGAAGAAAAACTGATATTCTTATAGTGTTGTGGGTAATTAACTGGCCTAATTGATAACCTTGATATACGCGCTTAATGACCTTAGTGGTTAGCGTTCAGTAAATAATATAATGTATAATGTCAACGTAACGGCCTTAGACATTTACTTTTATTTACTAAATGAGTGGCCAGTTTTTTTAGTTATAAGCTGACAGAGTGAACATGGTCTTTAAAATACTCGTACATCCCCGAGAGAGAGAGAGAGAGAGAGAGAGAGAGAGAGAGAGAGAGAGAGAGAGAGAGAGAGAGAGATAGAGAGAGAGAGAGAGAGGCAATAATAAAACAAGACACTTTTCTCTTTCACTTTCATCTCTGGTTACTCACAAGAAAGGTATAGCCATGATAACTGCGTCACGTGATCTCAACCCTTGGGTGTAATATATCGCGCGTGAGACAGGTATATTGTTGCGTAGTGACGGAGCACGACACAGCGTAATTAAAAGTGCAACACCTGTAACACTAGACGCCTCACTAATTGCCACACTGTTCCCCCGAAACTTTGAACCGTATCTAACCTAACCTAACCTCACCTAACGTAACCGAATTTATCCTACCGCCTAACATAACTTGATTTAACCTACTGTAAGACACACACACACACACACACACACACACACACACACCTCTTCCAGTATCATATCTGCTCCTTCATCCAGTCATCCTCCACCCCTCCTTCTCCTCACCCCTCCCTTTGATCATCCTCATCCTTTCCTCACGGTCATCCTTCGCGTCACTCCATCCTCAACGCCCTCGTGGTAACTGCCTCATGACTCATCCTCAAACAGTGTGAGGTCGTCCTTCAGTTTTCACGAGCTCTATAAACACGGGCGCAGGTTGTGTGTTTTATGAGTTGTAAACACTAGTGCTTTACCCAGTTGGAGGGGAGGGGTGGGAGGGAGGAGGGGTGAGGGGGGAGGGGTGGGGGATAGGGAGGAGTGGGTGAGGGGGGGAGGGGTGGGATAGGAGGGGAGGGGTGGGATAGGAGGGGGGTGAGGGATAAAGAGACTGCTTATTTATTTTCTCATATTTTGCAGATTTTAAAGTCAGAGAGAGAGAGAGAGAGAGAGAGAGACACAGAGACAGAGAGAGACACAGAGAGAGAGAGACAGAGAGACAGAGAGGGGGTGAATGCCTACACAACAAAAAGTACAGACTCTGCTATAAGTCAGAGTTAAAACGAAAAGTTTTATTTTAGCGAGTAATAACACTGTCAAAGAGAGCGGCTGGAATGCTTCAAAGGCGAGTCTGTCAAAAATGTAATTGCACCTGTCTTGTTTAATTTACTGTCACTGGCCCCCACTATTACCTTTGTGGCTCCTCATGTCACTGCAGCGTTAACCTAACCTAACCTAACCTAACATAAAACTTGAACTTGCCAATCGATATTATACTAAATGCGTTTAAATAATCAACGTTGTGTACCAAGATGTTAGTTCTGAGGTATTGTGGATTAGTGGTGAGGGGAATGAAGTGAACCAAGTGAGAGAGAGAGAGAGAGAGAGAGAGAGAGAGAGAGAGAGAGAGAGAGAGAGAGAGAGAGAGAAAAGAGAGAGAGAGAGAGAGAGAGAGAGAGAGAGAGAGAGAGAGAGAGAGAGAGATGGCTGAATCTTTATGCTAGTCATTGATATGGTAAGGCCTATAAGAGGAACGTGTAGTAGTGGTGTAGTAGAAAGTAAGTTAGTGTAAGAATTTAGAAGAATATTTTATGCCTGTGAGAAAAAATATAAAATAGTGAATAAAATATAAACTTGAATGGAGATAGAATGAAGGATAAATGGATGTGTGAAAGGGGGAATGGAACAATGAATGATGAATTGAGTGTAGGGGAAGGAGAGAAAATAATTGATGGATTAAGAACTGTGCATAGAGAGAGAGAGAGAGAGAGAGAGGATGAAAGGGAGCCAGGTCAGAAGAGGTTAATATTGGGATGTTGAGGGGATTTTATTGACCTGGGAATGTCATATAGATAGATGTGATAAATGGAACTCTGGATGCATGAGAAAGGATGAATAAATGGGAGGAACAGTATAGGATACAATGATTAAGGAATAGATAAACAAGGATGAAATGTTCAACTTGGAAGAGTTAGGTGTGAGGCAGGTAGAAGTTAGGTCAGGGTTTCCTCAATGAATGGGAAGTAAAAAGATTGGTTAAAGAGAGGGAGGGAAGACGAGGAGTGAATGAATGGTGGATAGTAAGAGGGAGGGGAAGACCAAGACGATGAAGAGAGAAGAGGTGAGGAGGATAGATAATGATCAGGAAGAGGAGGTGTACGTAAATAAGTGGATAGCACGGCGTTGAGTAGCGTGATATGTCTATGGCTGGAGGTGGTGGTGATGGTGATGTTCAGGAAGGTGCAGGAGTATGCAGGCTTGGCTGTGAAGGGGAGTACCACACCAGAGAATACATGAATAATAATGGATGAGTGTTCGTATGTGTTTCCCGCCAGTCTATATTGACCGAGAAAGTATCCGGGAGAGTAAAAATAATTATACATTTTCCAAAAGCAATACAGTTTTAACTATTACGAGACCCCCCCCAAAAAAAAACTATGGAGATGGTGGATAATAATGCTGGTGTGAGATACGGAGATATAAAACCCACTTTTTTATCTTCGGCTCAAAAACAAAATATATTTGGACCAGCGGTCATTTAGAATGGTGACGTTATAAAAACAACAACAGACATAAACCTACTCGAGCGGTGGTTGTTATCATAGCCAACGTCGGATTCAACACATGTCTACATTAACTGGGCTGTTAGCTCAGACAATTACTGAAACGTTCTGCAATTACGGATGTTATTGCAATTATTACGCTCTTCAATTACCGCTATTCTACTCGGTTATTGTCAGTGTTGCTGTTGCAGAGAGGAATGTATATGGAGCCGAGGTTTGACAGGGTGCGTGGGGGTTCAGGGAGAAATATATATGGACCTAATGTTGCAGGGAAAAATATAGATGGCTGAAATATTGTAGGGAGAGTAATGTTTGACACGGTGTGATAAATATACAAGGGGGGAGCGGGCGTGCCAGGGTGTGCAGGGTTAAAGGGAGGAATAAAAACGGAGAGAGAAGAATTGACAGGGTGTGTAGGATTAAAGGGAGACATGTACAGGGAGAGAGAAGGCTTGACAGGGAGGGACAGAGAGGGATCTATTGTGCCTTAGAGTTTTTCAGGGAGATTGAGGGAGATTAATCCTGAGCGGTGTGAGGGGTCTGAGTCTGAGTGTGTGTGTGTGTGTGTGTGTGTGTGTGTGTGTGTGTGTGTGTGTGTGTGTTACGTGAGGAAGGAAGGAAACATCCAGTAAATTTGGACTAAAAACAAAATGAAAAGATACAGTGAAATGATAACTTGATAATAATGTAAATATAAACAAAACAAAACAGATAAACAAGTAAATAAATAGAATCATGAAGACAACAAACGAATTATAGAATAAAACAAACATAAAACAGAATTAAACCCGCCCCCAAAAAAAATATTAATGAAAGCTATACTAGATTCCAGAGTAAAAAACAACAAATAAAATAACTACAGCAACAAAAACAACAAAAACATAAATAACAAAACAAAAAGAAATAAAGCAAAAATAAATAACAACAACAACAAGCTAACCCCAAAATAAAAAGGAAAGAGAGAGAGAGAGAGAGAGAGAGAGAGAGAGAGAGAGAGAGAGAGAGAGAGAGAGAGAGAGTCATTGGTAACAGCAATTAGGGAGAAGGGAAATGGATTTAGAAAACGGAATTTAGTGATGGGGGGGAAACTGAACTGTAAATAAACAAAATGAATGGTGAGACAGAGATGGAAAACAAATATATATCTAATTGATGAAAAATGGAGAGGGGAAACAGAATACGATAAAGGAGAGGGAATAAAGAGGTGAGGTTGAGCGGGAATGGAGAGGTAAAGTGAGAGGGAATGGAGGCGAGGTAAAGTGAGAGGGAATGGCGGAGAGGTAAAGTGAGAAGGAATGGAGGCGAGGTAAAGTGAGAGGGAATGGCGGAGAGGTAAAGTGAGAGGGAATAAAGAGATAAAGTGAGAGGAAATCAAGAGACAAAGTAAGAGGGAATGGAGAGGTAAAGTGAGAGAGCATAAACGGGCAAACTGTGAGAGGTAAGAGGACCTATTTCACGAGTCGAGTAACATGATATGATTCACGGTACAGGAAATATATACATACTGTAGGGAGAATTTATGCGAATAGGTCATAGTTTAAGGACAAATGACGTATAATTGATAACAGCAACAGGATTTTTTGTAGTGCTTAGGGGAGAAATGACTTATAATTGGGGAAAAAATGTTGAGTATAGGAAGTATTTAGGGAAAATTAGAGCATAATGGTGAAAAAGAAAAATAGGTAAAGTCGGGAAAACTGAGGAAATACAAATTTAGGGAAAGTCAGGAATGTAAATGGGAAACAATGAATTTAGGGAAATGTAAATATAAGAGGAGGGAAGAAAGAGAGTGATATTGGTAAGGTAAACACAGTGTGACCTGAGGCGTGGCTCGACGATGTGGGTGGTAATATTTCCTTAGTGTGGTGGGGGGCTCTGCACCCACCTCCGAGTTCGCTGGAAGACAAGAGAACAAATGCCAGTCTTCTCGTTGACACCAACTGTAGGAGCATCGAGGCTAACATTATCCATGAACAACTACGCTGGACTGGCCATGTTACCCGCATGGACGACAGTAGACTACCAAAGCGGCTACTTTACAGTCACCTAACGGATAGTAAACGTAATGCTGGCGGACAACTGAAAAGGTATAAGGATAGTCTTAAGACAAACCTGAAAAAGTGCCAAATCGACCCCTTCACCTGGGAGACGATCACTCCACACCGTAACGCTTGGAGGAGCACCACACGAAAAGTAGTCAATACTTTCGAGTTAGACGCCCCTCCCGCACTAGATGTAGCCCTCCACACGTGCGACATTTGTGGATTGCCGGTCCCCTTATCGGCGTGTCTAGCCACCTCAAAACTCATCAACGAAGGTGACATCCCTAATAACTCATATCACTGTATCATAGCTGGATGATCGTCATACTCGATTCCGACTGACAGCAAAGTATCATGTATGTGTGTATGTCCATTCAGTATGTGTGTGTTTTCTATGTGGGTGTATTGTGTGTGTGTGTGTGTATGTCTGTGTGTGTGTTTACTGTGTGTATGTATATATGTCTGTGTCTGTGTTTGAGTTACAAAATTCCTACTTCTCCATCTGTTTGTTAATACCTGAACAGGGTAAACATTACCTGCTGGTGTTTGCATCCCATTAGCCATTGTAATCAGTTGAGACGCAGGTGTGTACACGCAGCGCTCACCTGCCTACTTTCCTCAC